TACACAAAAACAACTTGTTTCCACTCATGTGTTTGTACATTTGTATTGCAGAACGAGGTACCCTCAGAAACAGATTAAGGATTACTGTTGATGACAGTTTTGCCTTTTTCATATGATCGCATTGCACACTATACTCTGTTCACCCTAAGCTGACAATGCAGCAGAAGATACGTGCTGGATGGACCAATCTCAGAGCCAGCTTTTCGGGATGTCACCCCACTCTCTGGCGCGATGACAATGCACAGTTATGTTGCATGTTGCTGGCTCCGATTGGTACATCCAGTGCATACCTTCCACTGCACTGTCAGCTTAAGGGTGAATCGAGTGTATGGCACATCAACTCGGTCATGCCAGTATTTTGCACTCGCTCTCGTTTCTCTTTGTGAATAAATCAGTCTGCTTCCCTTGCCAGTAAGTGGTGGACAGTTATGGTCCACGTCAGGCAGCAAACATATAAGCTCTTCTTCTAGATGACAAGTTCGTATATACTACAGTGACTATATGAGGGTTGCCTTCTCTCAAATGGCACCGTGTATTCATCTGCCCAGCGCAGCATTTGGGCTTCCAGGAATTCGCAGGTATTTTCGAGAGTATCAAAATTAAAATCGGATCTACTTTTCTCAGTTCTCGGGCTGGATAGTCTTGCTGCCTGTTATTACATTTGACAGTCATTTAAAAGGTAAAAGCTCAACACAATCTGAAAACGCTTAAAACTTGCCTTTGTACGAGGTTGATGGCACTGGACTTTTGGGGACCTCCTTTACTAAAAGACTTGGCGAGTCTTCTAAACAGAATGAGATGCACGAATGAGCATGATCAAAAGATGGAATATATTTGTACACTAGAATCTTAACGAGCAGTTCAAAGCCTTCAAAGGACGGTGGTTCAGCCAAGAAAGGCTCCTCGCTTAAAGTACCAGGCCTCTCCCATTGCGGTTCTGAGGCAGCTTCTGAAAAATCAGGTAGAAATTGGACGCCAATGCAGGTTATAAAAACTCATTCTTTTAAAGACTCATTTCGTAATAAGAAAGAGAAGCATCCACACCAATTTTCATTGCAAGGGCCAAACCCAGCCTCTGGCTGTGAGCCTTTTCCTCGGCGAGCTCTTTCTGAAGTTTTTTTTTTTTTTTTTTTTTTTTCTCCTCTTTCTCCTGGAGGAGATGTCGAAGGATCATATCCTCTTGAGGGGCTGCCCTCGTCTCCTGGGTCTGGGTAAACATACATTGCCACTGTTGGAATATCATAACTTCAGAGTGCAAAAGTTTTAGGTGTCCGGTAATTCTGCACCTTTCGCTTTTTCTAAAATCTGCAGCGATGTCATCAAGCCTCGACCGCTTGCCAATCTCCTTCCAGTTCTTTTTTTTTTTTCGTTCAAGGTCTTGGACATGCTAAATGAAAACAGTAGAATAATTGAATATTTACTCAAGTAGTGTAGTACACACAAGATAAGTAAGCTATACTTCGTTTCAGCTTTCGTCCGAGCGCAGCGAAAGGATGAGGGACAATTCGCAACTTCGAGAAGAGCATTCCTACGCACCACAAAGTAGTTCACAAAAGTAATTTCTTTTAAAATAACTGTTTTGTGCGTAAGAATTGCACAATGTTCCAGATGTGTACTGCTGAGAATGATTTGCAACTAAAGGAATCAAATCTCTGAAGTTTATGTTCCTATTAATATACGTAAATGCATGTGGTTTGGTCAAAACATGTATATCCGCTGGCAACACGGCTGCAGCGCTCGGTTTTTCTGTGTGATTTCGTTCCCGTAACCGCCGAATCATGTACTTCGCTGCTTTCCTCACGGAGTCGCTTCAAAACGCCCTTTCGCAAAGGCACGTTTGGGCGGCAGGCGCGAGAAGTCATGATGGCTGTCTACTTTCAAATTCGGCAGGAGACTCCGGCCGCGTCGTACCGCGAATGCGTTGTAAACAAGCAAAGTGTCCGGGCCACCACAATTCAAATAGGCGGCGAAATCAGGGCACCCCTTTACCTGCCGATCACATTGAACGCCGAGAAGCTGGTGGAAAGGACTGCGCCCCGAGCCCTGGTGTATCCAAACAATACAAGGAAACATCAACGGCCGGGTGATCAGGGACCTTGCAACGTGTACTTACAACTCAAAACTATGCCGGACAGGTGGAAAGCTCGGACACAGATGCCAGCGGCCAGCCTACGTACTGATGTCCCCTGTGACTAACTTTCAGAACGTGAAAGGGCATTTTTTAAACCTGTAGCAGACGATATCGTTGATACACCCGTAGCAGATGAAATACTTGGCGAGCGCGGGCGGCGCGGCCGACCGGTGGCGCAACGGAGTGATACAAAAGTGCAGGCGAGATCGCGTGACCTATTGCCGGCGTGTGATTGGCTCCGGCCACACGTAGGTTTGGCTGCGCTCGAAAGGAAGCTGAAACGAAGTATAGTAAGCTTTTCATGCACAAAAGGAGTAATACGGAACGACATCGACCACCAGTGAAAGTGATTGGAAAATGGGCATGAGGAGTATTTTCAGTTCCTTATTTTATCGTAATACTCGCTCACGAGCAGTTAGGCCTAACCCTGGAAGAAAAGGCAGTTGCTATTTTTATGATTTTTGCAACAGAATGGACTGGTTCTGCGCTACGATTTTTATTTCTAGTGTACAAAAGGTAAGCACCGACTACGTGACTGCCCCAAAACATTTCGCGTTCGGCATGGACAGAAAAAAGTGAAATACAGAGATGTCTGTCTCTTGTATCCTTTTCTACCTCTGTATTTCACGTTTTCCTCTCCAAAGTTCTGCTGGCCCTATCCTGCTATAATAGATATTTTACAAACACTAAATATTTGCCGTCCCCACTCGAGTTTGCGTTTAGTCGATGTGTGTCGTGTTCAACCATTTTTTTTAGGACACTATGAGCTTAAAATGTTCGTGGTTATCCTTTGGAGATGGCATCTTTCTTAGGTCTTCGAGAGAAATTACAGAGCAAAACTATTATTCTTGCCCTTCTTGCAGGCTACTTCTGCGTTGCACTACCATCCAAAATCCCAGGAATCGGGCACCGCTTGAGTTACATCTTCTTCAGGAAATCATCAGACTCTCTGAAAAAAAAAAAAGTTAAATAGCACCCTTCTTTTATTGACACGAGTATAATAGGTTCGACAATCGTACTGAGACGAAAGGAAAGCAGTTAAGAGTTACTGCCCCAGTCCCTTCCTGCCCAAACTGGTCTTTGCTACGGTCACGCCTGAATTTTAAAAAAAGCTGCCTTATGGCTTGAAACCAGCTTTCGCACTCGCAAACTGTTTTTAATCCACAAAAGCATGGAAGGTTATTTTACCCCTAATAAATTAGGCTTACCGCCCGGAAGGATAACGTTGGCGTTGTAGAAGTCCTCATCTTCGTCGTCGGCAAAATCTGAAAGTCAGTAGGCCTCGTATAGCCGGGTCGCGTTCAAGTCGGCAGCATTTCGAGGCGTGAACTTCTTTACCAGGGAAGTGGGAAAAATCAATTGCACACCATCAGTGAACTTAACATAAGCATGCATTTCGCATGGATCTATTGCGTGATACCTACGTTGCATGACAACAAAACTCCAAAACGCGCAAGAGAACAAAAAAACCCAACGCACGCTACAGCAAGTACGACGCAGTGTTGTTAGACGGATAAAACAAAAGTCAGCAGATTGATCCACAAAAAGTAAGTAAATTTGCACAAAAATCAGTAGATTTTACGAAATCTGTTTTTTGCCGTGTTTTGCTATTTCCATTAAACAACACTTCGAAGAAATATTAGAGTAATAAATAACATGGTAATAAACACACAAAAAAAGACTAGTGAGCAATTCTTTATTGAGGATAAAATGAAATGACACCGCAAATATTTTTCTTTTTTTTTAGCATTGAGTACTTTTGCGATTTCGAGGATTATTCTTTAAAATCAAGACTGAGCTACTGTTGTGATCAACAGAATGGAGCGACAGTGCGACGTCCACCTGTCGTTATTATTGAAACGAAACTGAAACAGGATGTTCCGGCAAGTGCGCGCGTACATGTCCAAGGAACGTCCTCTGCAGGCTGGCATCTTTCCTTACTTTGGCTGTGGAAGGTTCTTGAAGTACCACTGCCGGCGAAGAACACTGTTGAGACTACGCGTCGTCTGCTACGGGCGTATTTCTTTTTCACCTGACTCAAAGTTTGCGTTCAAGTGACCTTTCCTGTTTCTTTTTCCAGCTCGAAGTGGGTGACTCTGGGTGACTCTTATTCCTGGTCGACGCCGAGATGGTTCAAAACCAGTGCGTTGTTTGGCGATACTGCCCGAACCCGCCTGACTCAAACAGCAAACACAAACTTTTTTTTTTTTTGTCTTTACATAGAAATATTACATAGTACCAGGGCACGGTCGCACGGTGTACGAGGTGTCCTGGAGTTTCATTTTTGTTTAGCCGTCAGCATCCAATCCAATGCATCGTGCTCTTGGCGGTAACGGGGTTTACGGGACGCGCACCGGCTGTTTCGTGCACAACTTATTTAGTGTCGAGGGCTAATGTCTCTTACATTCTACGTTGACGTCGGATATATTCGTGATATGGCTACTCCGGGACAAAGAATGAAACGACGGAAGCTATATCTAAATGCAGATGAGCCGTACGTCATACCGCTTTCAATTTATGTTACCAGGCGACTCATGGAGCTGGGTGCGTTAACACCGCTAAACCTTCGAACCGCGGCTAAGGTAGCTTGCCGACTGCAACCAGTTACAGTAACAATTCAGACGCCTATGACCAAGGAGTGGACGTTGGCTCTGTTGTCGGAGGGCTTCCGAGCAGTGATGAATGTTCGTCCGAAGGAAGAGAAGCAAACATAGAAATCAGCTCAACTGACAAAAATGACAATTCTTTGAATGTTGAACGCCTTGGTGATAGGGGGCGGAACTGAAGTCAGTCGAATACCTCGCGGGACACATTGACGACGAGGTGTCAGGACCGGAGTCAAGCGAAGACTTCGCGGAACACGTTGACGATGAGCTGTCGGGATCAGAATCAAGCGAAGACCTATCGGAACATGTTGACGACGAAATGCGGGGACCTAGTGGAACACATGGACGACGAAGTGTCGGGAGCGGAGTCAGGCGAATACCTATCAAAACACGTTGACGGCGAAGTGCGGGGACTGGAGTCAAGCGAGGACCGAGTGGTACACATGGACGACGAAGTGTCGGGACCGAAGTCAAGCGATGACCTAGTGGATCACATTGACGACGAAGTGTCGGGACCGGAGTCAAACAAATACCTATCAGAACACGTTGACGGCGAAGTGCGGGGACCGGAGTCAAGCGAGGACCTAGTGGTACACATGGACGACGAAGTGTCGGGACCGAAGTCAAGCGATGACCTAGTGGATCACATTGACGACGAAGTGTCGGGATCGGGGTCAAGCAAATACCTATCAGAACACGTTGACGGCGAAGTGCGGGGACTGGAGTCAAGCGAGGACCGAGTGGTACACATGGACGACGAAGTGTCGCGACCGAAGTCAAGCGATGACCTAGTGGATCACATGGACGACGAAGTGTCGGGACCGGAGTCAAGCAAATACCTATCAGAACACGTTGACGGCGAAGTGCGGGGACCGGAGTCAAGCGAGGACCTAGTGGTACACATGGACGACGAAGTGTTGGGACCGGAGTCAAGCGATGACCTAGTGGAACACATTGACGACGAAGTGTCGGGATCGGGGTCAAGCAAATACCTATCAGAACACGTTGACGGCGAAGTGCGGGGACTGGAGTCAAGCGAGGACCGAGTGGTACACATGTACGACGAAGTGTCGGGACCGAAGTCAAGCGATGACCTAGTGGATCACATGGACGACGAAGTGTCGGGATCGGGGTCAAGCAAATACCTATCAGAACACGTTGACGGCGAAGTGCGGGGACTGGAGTCAAGCGAGGACCGAGTGGTACACATGGACGACGAAGTGTCGGGACCGAAGTCAAGCGATGACCTAGTGGATCACATTGACGACGAAGTGTCGGGATCGGGGTCAAGCAAATACCTATCAGAACACGTTGACGGCGAAGTGCGGGGACCGGAGTCAAGCGAGGACCTAGTGGTACACATGGACGACGAAGTGTCGGGACCGAAGTCAAGCGATGACCTAGTGGATCACATTGACGACGAAGTGTCGGGACCGGATTCAAGCAAATACCTATCAGAACACATTGACGGCGAAGTGCGGGGACTGGAGTCAAGCGAGGACCGAGTGGTACACATGGACGACGAAGTGTCGGGACCGAAGTCAAGCGATGACCTAGTGGATCACATGGACGACGAAGTGTCGGGACCGGAGTCAAGCAAATACCTATCAGAACACGTTGACGGCGAAGTGCGGGGACTGGAGTCAAGCGAGGACCGAGTGGTACACATGGACGACGAAGTGTTGGGACCGGAGTCAAGCGATGACCTAGTGGAACACATTGAGGACGAAGTGTCGGGATCGGGGTCAAGCGAAGACCTATCAGAACATGTTGACGACGAAGTGCGGGGACCGGAGTCAAGCGAGGTCCTAGTGGTACACATGGACGACGAAGTGTCGGGATCAAAGTCAAGTGAAGACCTATCGGAACATGTTGACGACGAAGTGCGGGGTCCGGAGTCAAGCGATGACCTAGTGGAACACATTGACGACGAAGTGTCGGGATCAGAGCCAAGCGATGACCTATCAGAACACGTTGACGGCGAAGTGCGGGGACCGAAGTCAAGCGATGACCTAGTGGAACTCATTGACGACGAAGTGTCGGGACCGGAGTCAAGCGAATACCTATCAAAACACGTTGATGGCGAAGTGCGGGGACTGCAGTCAAGCGAGGACCGAGTGGTACACATGGACGACGAAGTGTCGGGACCGAAGTCAAGCGATGACCTAGTGGATCACATTGACGATGAAGTGTCGGGACCGGAGTCAAGCGAATACCTATCAGAACACGTTGACGGCGAAGTGCGGGGACCGGAGTCAAGCGAGGACCTAGTGGTACACATGGACGACGAAGTGTTGGGACCGGAGTCAAGCGATGACCTAGTGGAACACATTGACGACGAAGTGTCGGGATCGGAGTCAAGCGAAGACCTATCAGAACATGTTGACGACGAAGTGCGGGGACCGGAGTCAAGCGAGGACCTAGTGGTACACATGGACGACGAAGTGTCGGGATCAAAGTCAAGCGAAGACCTATCGGAACATGTTGACGACGAAGTGCGGGGACCGGAGTCAAGCGATGACCTAGTGGTACACATGGACGACGAAGTGTCGGGATCAAAGTCAAGTGAAGACCTATCGGAACATGTTGACGACGAAGTGCGGGGTCCGGAGTCAAGCGATGACCTAGTGGAACACATTGACGACGAAGTGTCGGGACCGGAGACAAGCGAATACCTATCAGAACACGTTGACGGCGAAGTGCGGCGACCGGAGTCAAACGATGACCTAGTGGATCACATTGACGACGAAGTGTCGGGACCGAAGTCAAGCGATGACCTAGTGGATCACATTGACGATGAAGTGTCGGGACCGGAGTCAAGCGAATACCTATCAGAACACGTTGACGGCGAAGTGCGGGGACCGGAGTCAAGCGAGGACCTAGTGGTACACATGGACGACGAAGTGTTGGGACCGGAGTCAAGCGATGACCTAGTGGAACACATTGACGACGAAGTGTCGGGATCGGAGTCAAGCGAAGACCTATCAGAACATGTTGACGACGAAGTGCGGGGACCGGAGTCAAGCGAGGACCTAGTGGTACACATGGACGACGAAGTGTCGGGATCAAAGTCAAGCGAAGACCTATCGGAACATGTTGACGACGAAGTGCGGGGACCGGAGTCAAGCGATGACCTAGTGGTACACATGGACGACGAAGTGTCGGGATCAAAGTCAAGTGAAGACCTATCGGAACATGTTGACGACGAAGTGCGGGGTCCGGAGTCAAGCGATGACCTAGTGGAACACATTGACGACGAAGTGTCGGGATCAGAGCCAAGCGATGACCTATCAGAACACGTTGACGGCGAAGTGCGGGGACCGAAGTCAAGCGATGACCTAGTGGAACTCATTGACGACGAAGTGTCGGGACCGGAGTCAAGCGAATACCTATCAAAACACGTTGATGGCGAAGTGCGGGGACTGCAGTCAAGCGAGGACCGAGTGGTACACATGGACGACGAAGTGTCGGGACCGAAGTCAAGCGATGACCTAGTGGATCACATTGACGATGAAGTGTCGGGACCGGAGTCAAGCGAATACCTATCAGAACACGTTGACGGCGAAGTGCGGGGACCGGAGTCAAGCGAGGACCTAGTGGTACACATGGACGACGAAGTGTTGGGACCGGAGTCAAGCGATGACCTAGTGGAACACATTGACGACGAAGTGTCGGGATCGGAGTCAAGCGAAGACCTATCAGAACATGTTGACGACGAAGTGCGGGGACCGGAGTCAAGCGAGGACCTAGTGGTACACATGGACGACGAAGTGTCGGGATCAAAGTCAAGCGAAGACCTATCGGAACATGTTGACGACGAAGTGCGGGGACCGGAGTCAAGCGATGACCTAGTGGAACACATTGACGACGAAGTGTCGGGATCAGAGTCAAGCGAAGACCTATCGGAACATGTTGACGACGAAGTGCGGGGACCGGAGTCAAGCGATGACCTAGTGGAACACATGGACGACGAAGTGTCGGGACCGGAGACAAGCGAATACCTATCAGAACACGTTGACGGCGAAGTGCGGCGACCGGAGTCAAACGATGACCTAGTGGAACTCATTGACGACTAAGTGTCGGGACGGAGTCAAGCGAATACCTATCAAAACACGTTGACGGCGAAGTGCGGGGACCGGAGTCAAGCGAGGACCTAGTGGTACACATGGACGACGAAGTGTCGGGACCGAAATCAAGCGATGACCTAGTGGATCACATTGACGACGAAGTGTCGGGACTGGAGTCAAGCGAATACCTATCAGAAGGCGTTGACGGCGAAGTGCGGGGACCGGAGTCAAGCGAGGACCTAGTGGTACACATGGACGACTAAGTGTCGGGACCGGAGTCAAGCGATGACCTAGTGGAACACATTGACGACGAAGTGTCGGGATTGGAGTCAAGCGAATACATATCAGAACATGTTGACGGCGAAGTGCGGGGACCGGAGTCTAGCGAGGACCGAGTGGTACACCTGGACGATGAAGTGTCGGGACCGGTGTCAAGCGAAGACCTAGCGGAAAACGTTGACGACGAAGTGTTGGGACCAGGTTCAGTGGAAGAACTCCTGACTCTATGATTTTAAGAGTTCGGGGATCGCACATTGCCCCATTCGACTACCACAAAAGCTGGTGCCATCGCAATGATTATGGCGTACGCAGTCTCCGGACGATCGACCTGGTCAGGACAAGTTGTTGAAATTAGTTAATGACTTGTTCGGCTGCGCGGTAGTGCCACCAAGTGCATACATGCTCCGAAAACTGTGGGCCAAAAAAAAAAGACAACTTAGTGAAGTATCACTACCTGTGTCCGAGCTGTGGTACAGTCATTAATGCTGGTCATACACTTGCAAGTTGCGATGTTTGTCAATTTGAGGAGAAGACTGAGAAGCTAAGGCAGGATGGCTCATCTTTTCTTAATGCTTGACCTTCACAAACAACTCAAGCAGCTGATTGAAAAAACGTGTGTTGACCTTCATAATAGCTTGTTAAAGCTTGAATCGAGCAACTCTGATCTCATCACGGACATTACGACGGGTGTTCTGTACAAGACCTTGCGCCAGAAGGTTTCATTAGGCCTAAGTGACCGGACGTTAACCTTTAAAACTGACGGAAGCCCTATTTTTAAATCTTCCAAAACGTCAGTGTGGCCGATACAGTTCACCGTGAACGAACTGCCTCCATCTGTCCGCTTACACTATCAAACTCTAGCTGCTCTCTGGTTTGGAAAATCTCACCTGGATATGTCGGCTTTCCTAACTAAGTTTGTTGGCCAGGTCAACAACGTGATCCCTGTGGCATGGACACATGGCGATCGCAATCACGCATCGAAAGCATTTGTGTTATGCTGCAGCGTGGATGCCCCTGCCCGTGCTGCAGTACAGAACATGGTGTGTTTCAACGGCTTCTTCGGCTGCCCGTTCTGCCTCATGAAAGGCGAGCATAAGGAAGGTATGAGTTACTTATTTTACTAATAGTAATTACTTTTATCAGTTTCGAAATGTATATCCGATCACATCTCCATTGTTGAGTTCAATGTAGTACACTGCTTTCATTTGCAGGATGTGTACGTGATGTCGCTGATGAGGCAGCAGCTCCAAGGACATCGGGGCCCCTTACTCGAAATATGGTGCTTGCGCAGAGACTGGGGGACCCTGTGAATGGCGTCAAGGGTCCATCTGCACTCATGAACCTTAAAAGTACTTTTTGTATGTGAAATGTGTTGTGTCGAAACCAACTTGGTATAATTTTCCCTAACCTTTGACCTGGTGGAAGGAATGCGTGCCGAGTATATGCACTGCGTTCTCCAAGAGGTAGTGCGGCAGTTCACGGAGCTGCTTTTTTCATCTTCCAGCTCACGGCAGGCCTTCTACATGGGTTACTACTGAAACCTTTTTGATGTATGGCCGTGCATGAAAAAAAAAAAAACCTAAATCTTATTTAGTTGCTGTTTTCCGACTACAGCCGAAATGCAGACCTGGTGTCGCAAGGTTCTTGCCGTAATCCTTTATTGCGCTCCACATGCACACAACGCAACACTGCTAGCACGAGGAAACAATCACCGGTTTTTCCGGTTTTCAATCGCTGTAATCAAAACTGATGGATGATAAGAGTGTTCTCTAGGGACTCGAGCCTGAGTGGTAAAATTTCGTTCTTATCGATGCATTGTTTTAGCAAATATGAATAAGCACCGATGTCGTCTTTGCTCTTGCAGAGTGTACGGTTGTAAATAAAGATGTCGCAAACCTGACGGAGGTTCAAACTTAACTTTGCAACTTTCGAACAGTGCTGACATTCGATTTAGAAACGTGTGCAATCTTTGAACACTGCGAAAGTTAGAACATGCAAACTTAGAAGCTTTGAAGGTTTCTGTAAAGTCGAGTTTGAAGGTTTTGATCTCGTTTAAGAATAAAGTTTGCAACATCTGTATAGTTTCATTTTTTTTAATTTAAGGTAAATAGATTTGAAGTTTCTTTCATGTCCGGGTTTGTGAGGTTCGGAGTCTTTGAATATCAGAGATGTCCATGTTCCAGAGTTTAGAAAATCATATATTTGTTAAAATAGTCCAAAATCCGGGAGATGTCATGATTAAAATAATAACACCGACTTCACATAACAAGAAAAACTTCATTAAACGTTTCGCGTCCCATGCGGGAGGCATCATCAGTACATACACAGGAATGAGAGAGCTTCGGTCAACGCAGTCCTATTTGCGTTGACTATAGCTGCGTTGATAGGACTGCGTTCACCGAAGCTCTCTCATTCCTGTGTATGTACTGATGATGCCTCCCGCATGGGAGGCGAAACGTTTAATGAAGTTGTTTTTCTTGTTATGTGAAGTCGGTGTTCTTATTTTAATCATATATCAGCTCAAAAACGAAAACGACGAGAAGGAACAAACACGACAGGACGAAGCTGTTGTGTTTGTTCCTTCTCATTGTCTTCGTTTTTTAGCTGTCTTCACCATAAATAACGTATACCCACTTACCCAAACCACTACATTTGTACATTTATGTTTTTTTTTGTATGAACATCACTGTTCAATAAATGTTCCAAGTATTTAAAATTTTTCATGTGGTTTGCAGGTGCACGGGGGTCTGTTGCCAAGGTCAACGCACGCCTCCAAAGCATCAAGCCTCCGCACTGTGTCACAAGGCTATCTCGTTCAATTGAGGAGCGCAGTTTCTGGAGGGCCTCCGACTGGAGGCAATGGCTCCTTTTTTATGCCCTTCCATGCTTGCTGGACCTCCTGCCCCAACTCTACTGGAGGCACCTGTGCAAGCTCTCTGAGGCTATTGATATCTTGCTCCGTGATAGTTTTACGCTTGAGGAAATCAAACGTGCAGGTGAGTTATTAATCATTATGGTGTCGCATTGTCATGTAAAAAAGTTCCCACTCTTATGTCGATAGCTGGCATTTGTGACAAATAGAAAATGGTTGTTAGAAGATTGATGAAGTGAGGGTGCATATTGAAAACTTAAATCTTTTGATGGGTGAGTATACATGGCGTCAAATGGGGATAGCACAGTAAGGCAAATTATAGGACCTGGGGGCCCATAATTGTGGAGCTTTGTGCAGTGCAGCTGAAAAAGCTGGGGGTGTAGAAAAGTTAACAGATTTTGTTCACAACGTCTTTTCTTGATTCAAGGTTTGTTCCGAGCTCACTGCGGTCATAAACAAAAAATACATCTAGGACAAAACTGGCACATAACATGATTTCATAAAAGCAAAATTAAGGAGTGCAATTCTAACAGGTTTTCGATTTCTCGGTAATTTAGTCAGGTCAACAACAGAAACGTAAACGGGGAATAAGATACCATACGGTAACTTCCATAGGGAACATAATATTCTTCAGATTGACTATAAGTCTATAAATGCGCGGTAAAGTGATGTGATTAAAAGTCCGACTGCGACATTACGAACTAACCTCTCATCTATAAGTCACATTTGTCGAATCAACATAAACTTTGAAGCACTTGTTAGCCATTAGTAAGCTAAATTTTAACTTATGCTGTCGCTTTTATGAGCTCCTATTAAGTTTGTTATTTGATGCGTGCGTCCACAGACCATTGAAGTGCTTTGTTGTCGTCGGTTCTGACAGGTATGAGCAAGCATAATGAGCCCACATTCTGTCGATGTACAACTTCCCCTTGCTTTTCTTGTAGGACAACTGCGCCGTGTCATTGTTTCGTTAATAGCGGTAAGTGTACAGTACAGACGTGTAGCTACTCATAGGTCACCATACCGGTATCTCGCTGTCAAGTTACTGCCTCCTTTCCAGCATGTTTGTCTGTTGGCGTAGTGGCCGTGTTGGAAGGATCTCGACGAAAAAAGAAATTCACCTC